GAGAGAAGCATTCAACATCTTCAATTTTATAATGACAGATCAGAACTTATTAAAGAATGTGTGTAGATTGATGACCTGTGTGTCATCAAGAGACATGAATTTCAGAACTGTCTCACAGTGTAACTGTGTTTTGAGGACAGAGTATTCCTGTTCAATCACATTTCATAGAGTATAGGCAATCTGATTTTCATCATACTTGAAGAAATGTGGTCTGACACCTGCATTCAAGGAGTTTGAGATGAATGTGTAGAGCCACCGGTTTCTGGCATCTCAGAATGATGCTCATTTATCATCTCTTTGTAGAGAGTTCTGAATCTGTTGTTTCTCTATCATATATCAGCACTGTGCATCAACCAGTTTTGATTTCATGAAGATGCTTCATGTGATGTAATTGAATGTGCCAGTCAGACTGTTTAATCTCACAGTATTCTTGACATCTTTCTTGAATTGAGAGATTGCCTTGTCAACATGGCTATTCGGTTCATAAAGGTTGAATTCCAATCTTTTATCAAGATTAGGATTCCATGTGGCTGTTGATGTAGTGATAGAATGATTGTTGATATTCTGTGATTAAACTGTGAAGGATGAGAATCTCTGTTGATGAAGTTTTTTCAGTTATAGTTCAAGTTCTAAGACTCTTTGCTTTCTCTTATTCATCTCAAGTATCATCTTGAGATGCTTCATCTGTTGGTCTGATATTGCCTCACCTGAACAGTAGATATCTGGGTGTTTAATATTCTTATCAAGAGAACCAGCTTCATCAAGCTGTTGAGTAGATCAGAGGGCTGGCCTGACTGTGTCAGAAGCTGTATTCAAACCAGCTTCAAATTGAGAGAGTGTTTTGACAATGAAGCTTTCAAAGGCTCCAGAAGGATGTTCACTGGCAGAGTATGAGTGTGAAGAATCATCATCATCAACTGCAACTGATTCAGTGAAAAGGACATAAGATTGTGAACATGTGTGTGAGCATGATCATATTGAATCCGCTATCTTGATATTTGTTTATTGAATTCTTGTCAATATTGTTCTCTTTTTTTTTTTTCTTGCTTTTTTGCAAATGTGGTGTGTTTTCTGCAAGTCTCTTTTTTAAGTGAGTAGTAGTATTATTGATCATCAAGATCTCAAACACATCAATACTGATAGAATAAGACAATTTTAACTCCTGATGAGTGTATCAAATGAAGCAGTAGTTCAAATAGATTATATTGATAAGGAATCCCGAATTGGCAGCAATTTTTGCGCAAAATGAGTCTCATAACCTGTGAAAGGTGTAAAGCTTGTATGATTGAAAGGTTGCTAGCTTTGTGAGAAGTTATATGGTGGAAGGATTAGTAAGCCAGATCACGTGACCTGACAGATAATTGATTACAACTTGTACAATAATTTTTGAAAACTCAAAATTAATTTCAATTATTAACTAATAGTTATGAACTTATAACTAACTAATATAAAAAGAAAAAAACTTTTTCTACTTATTATCTTTCTTCTCTTTCTCATTCTTCTCATTATTCTTCATAATTCACTTCTTATTCTCATTTTTCTTCTTCTTCTTCTTCTCATCTGAAATGATAATCATTTTAAAATCTTTCTCTGCTGTCTTCTCAGAGAAGAGTTTCTACTGCTTTCTCTCAGCCAGGTCAATCTATACTTCAAAATCCTGCATTTTCTGATCTGCTATCTCAGGTTCCATCTCAGTAGTAAGCAGATTGACATGCTCAGAGAGCAGAGCTGTCTTCTCAATATTCTGAATTATGAAGTGCATTCAAGATCTGAATAAGATCTCAATTTTCTTCTCTATCAGCTTCTGCTAATCAATTAGAGAACAGAAGTATTATTAAAAATCATTATCTCTTAATAAAAAACTTATCAGTTTTTACTTCTTTATCTTCTACTTCAATACCTTCTCAATCTTCTTCTATTACTACTTATTTACAGTAACACTCTTCTTCTCTCTCTCTCTCTTTATCTTGATCTTAAATCATTCTCAGAACTTCTTCTGATCTTATTACTACTATATAAGACTCTTCACTATCTTCTTTTTCAATCTCTTACAAGCAGTGCTATCTGTATTATTTCTATACTTAGTTCAGTCTAAATCTATCAGAAGTGTTACTTAAAATCATTATCATTCTACTCTCTTACAGAGCCTCTTTAAGGCATTATAACATGTCTTGTAATCTATCTCTCTATGCTTGAACATCTTCTTCTTCTCTCTCTTCAATCTGTAATAGTACTCACACGCCTTGATGATCTGCAGGATCACAGAATATTTGAAGAGAAATAACATAATTAATTTTAATAAGCATTGAAGAGAAAGTGAAGACAGACAATAATATAATAATAATAATGATGATGATGATAGTAATAATGATAATAATAATGATGATGATAATGATGATGATAATAATGATAATAATGATGAAAGAGAGAGTGTATTAAAATATATTATTAACTTATCAAATATAAAGAGATAAAGAAACTATTAACAGCTTTCAGAGATGTACAGAAACAGCTACAGTGTTATATAGTAATATTATCTTTATTCAATACATACACTATTAGTATTCTTTATATGCATTTATCATATAATCTATATCAGAGATACATGCAGAAAACAGATCTTTATTACTAGAGAGAATAATTACAGTGATTCTCTATTTTTATATTATAAAGATAAGTTATTCTTATTTCTTTCTTCTCTCTTTTCTCTTCTTCTTCAACTCATCACTAAGTTCAAGCTGGTATGAAAACTATTAAAACACTCATAGAAATCCTCAAATTGAAGAGTATAGACTAATCAAATTTTAAATACAGATGAATTAAATTATATTCAATAATACTAATTATTCATTTTCTTCTTAATAAAACAATAATCACATCTTTCTTCTTTCTTCTCAAACAAAACATAGCTTCTGAAAAGTGAGTATCATATCAGATTATAATAATTAATACAGCTTCAGCATGTAGAGCTGTATACACACAGTGTATACTGAACTGAAAGACTGTATGAGTTGCAAATCAACAGCAGCATCTCAGAGAGAGTCATGTAGTATAAGAAAGCTGCAACTCTTAATTACATATACAGAGAATAAATTATCATAGTAAGTATATATACATTGTATGAAAGTAACACTTTTTAATAATACTCACTCTCTGATATTATGAAAATAGAGTCTCTCTGTGAGATTCATTTTTATCAGAAGTCAGAGAATCTTATATTTCTCAAGATTATCTTTATATATCTTATTCATGAAATTGATGAGAAGAATCATTGATTTCAGTGTTCTATTCTTAATGTTATTTAAATAGCAGCAGAGTTCACTCTGATCACACTTTTTAAGTGTATATTTTCTAATTATTCACATTTATACAGATATATACTGATTATTTATTAGATAATATTAAGACAATGACTTATCACAGCTGTGTTACTCTCACTGTAAGAGATACACAGTTGATGATAAATATTGTAAAGACTCTGAGAAGTGAGTATTTTAAGAATACTGCAGCTCTGTAATCTTGATTTTTTTTTATTTTTATTTTTTATTTTTTTCTTTTTCTTTTCTTTTTTTTTTATTGTGATTTTTTCTTGTGTTTGTTTTGTTTTTTATTTTTTATTTTTTTTTATATTTTATATTTTTTTCATAATCAAAATTATATGAATTATAATCTGTGTTTAGAAAAGTAATAATATTTAATAACACTCTCTATTGAATTTTCAACAAATGAGCACTATGTTATAATATTATATAAGTGAGAAATAATTTCATAATCTCATTTAATACTATTCTCAATAATGAGATTAGAATAAAAATATGACTAAGAATTCAAACATATTCTTTATCTGAGACTAGATTTTTATTTGAAAAGTGAATCTGAAATCTTTAATATTTGAAATAACATGATTTGAGATCAATGTAATGAATACAAATCATGATCAGAAGTAATACTTTTAGATAATATAATAACTGTAAAGTTTGATTCTGATCTCAGACACAGTTACACAGTCAGTCTAGATATAGTTACATAATTAGTCTAGAAGTAATAAGCTGTGTAAAGTCTAGACTGACTATGTAACTGTGTTTGAGATCAGAACTAGATTTTTTAATAGTTTTATTATCAATTTAACTGATCTTATTACACAGTTTTAACATTAGATAGTAATTTCATACTATTTCAGTAAAACTTACTATCTACTCTTAAAAAGCATTACTTTTTAAAAAATTAAAAATAGTTTAAAAAAAACCTTAAAATGTCTAAAAATAGTAACTTTATGTCAAGAATAAGACTAAATGAGATTAAATAAGATTACTTTCTTATTTTTTTCAAGTCATGATTTCATTTTAAGATCTGATATATAGTTACTTTACATGTTTTTTTAATAGTCAGTCTCAGCAGAATTCATATCAAGAAATGTATGAGATCAGATTAAATGAGATTAAATGTGAAATTTATAATCTCAGCAGTCAGTCTAGTGAAGCCGTTATAAGACCTTGACACAGTCAGAGATGTGATAGATTATAAAAGAATTTAATTTCATTTCATATATTTGTTTACAGTTTTACACAATGTAAAAAGATAATCAGTAATAGAAAAAAGTAATAAGAGAAAATTATAATATCTGAGTTCTCTGAGTGCAGTATTGAAGACAGACAGCTGTAGAAGTAGTAAAATGCTGTAAAGAAATAAATTGATCAAGAGACTGGTTTTATAAGCAGTGAATGCAGGCTTTTGATATGTTGTTCATTCTTGAAGAATCTGTGAAAGGTGGTTGATGAGATGTGTAGAGCCGCAGGCGGCAAGAAGTCATAGTGCAATGTCATGTTCACTTAACTCTACACCAATCAGTGAGCTGTATTCGTGCCAAGAACCCCAAGAAGGAAGTTCTCCACTTTTATTGACCAGGGTTTTCATCATATATTTGCTTCGGGGACCAACTGGCCTGGGTCCCGGTCAGACATGATCGCTAACAGCAGTTGACAATGACAGATGACACGCCTATAGATCTCGTTCGCTCAACAGGAGCCGTCCCGTTCTTCTTGCCTAGCGATTAAGAGTACTAGCTTAGAGGACTTGTGGGTGACAGTCAAGATGGTATCGGTATCATGCCCGTCGCTGACTGGGAGACTTGTGATAAAATCGATCGCTAGTACTTCGAATGGTTGGTTCCCTTGAGGAGGGAATCGGATACGATTTTCCCCATTGTGAATGACTGGTGGCAAGCGCTTCGAAAGCTGGCAATTCTGGCGGCGGAGTTGGCCTCGTTGACAGATGAGGAGGAATCGGGAGGAGATAGGCACGTCAAAGACGAAGGTTGACTCCAGGGGTAAGTTCATGACATGACTTCACACAAATCAGTGTGAGAACATTGCATGGACAGATCCACTGCAGTGATGGTGCCCTTTATTGACTTGCACTAGATACACTCTGAAACATCATTTTTACGTGCAGCTAAACTTCTATAAGGAAGGCTGCTACTGTGAAAGGTGTTTGCAGGATCTATCCTCCCCCCCCCCGAAACCCTTGAGACCGGATGAGGATGGCATTTATGTATGATAGCTGGTGGCTTCTTTAGAGGTGCTTACATGAAGGGCTCCTCTTGACAGGATAATTCCCAGCGAGATTGCCAAGGCCTTTCGATGAAGAGTATATAAATTCCAAATGAGCCCCACCAGAGCAGTCGGCGCAGCTCTGCATTTCTTGCGAAAAGTTGTACCATGAAACTCATACATCCCATGACAGCCTTTGAAATATAAGGTAGATGCATATTGCGGCGGAGGACTACTCAATATCAAGAGTAGATTTGTGGTTCCAGTGTAGACCAGTGGCAAGATTCACTTTGTCATATAAGGATCCTTAAGTATGGTGGTTTCCAGTCTCGTCTAAAAGAACAAGATTTTGGGAGTCAAACAACACAGGAAGGATTGCAATTCGCCGAGGCAAAGTCTCCAGCACTTTCGAACTCAGGCTGACAATCTAAGAAAGCGGGTTCTGGTGGTGGAAGCTGGCGGAAGCTGCCAATTTTCAAGCATTAACTTAGTCCTCTCGAGGTGGATGGCCTGACTTGGTCGTAACTGGACACACTGCCTCCTAACAGGAGACCGTCGGCGACTTTGGTGTAAAATTGATTGCGGTTAAGTGAGCAGTGAGCGCTCATTTTGCCCCGTTGGCAGTTGGCACACACCCCATGCCCCTGGCGATTCGGTTCTCATCCATAGGCGCAACGATGCATTCTTCTACCGGTCCATTTTCTGCCGCACTTTTGCAACCAGGCTGGACTGCTGTTTCACCGTATGTCTGCAGAATGACTACATCGCCGGGTTATGGCGGACGGGCGTTGGGGAGACGGGTGGTTGGTGACTGCAGAAGATGGACGGAAATATCCGCGTCTATCCTCTCAGCATCGTGTTCTGCCGCCGGAATCTCCAGTGGGTATTCGATATCGTCCACTTCTGTTATGTGGCTGTCATTGCGAAATTCGGTAAGTCAGATTTGGGAATGCGTTCGGCGTAACTCAGAACCTGGCCCTTGACTAAACTGCGATAGACCAAGGTTGGAAAAGCTAACGTCTGTGAGGACGCTTGTCGAATCATCTTGAAGCGAATCCACCATACATCCTGGCCGGGCTGAACTATGGCGATTTTCCGCTGGACGGACACTCAATTTTCATTGCTTTTGGAAAATTGATATCTAGAATCAGGAGTCTCCGATGATGTTTCAGCAGGGACGCCGTTACAAGGTTGCAACAATATGGAATTTTCTCCCCTAATGCGAGTAATTCTATTATCCTGTTACCGAATAGCGAAAGTGTTGTCTCCTCAAGATCAATAAGAGTGTCAGAAACTGGCTGATTTTTATGACTACACAGATCTTGTCGCAGTCATTGATGGAGTATAGTGAAACACTGGAGATCACGGAAATGGCAATTATCGCAGACCATACGACCTGTGGAGATCTCACAGTTATGGATTGGCTCGAATTCCCTCAATCAGAAACAGCTGATGCATATTTCACAGTGATTGATAGTGTATGTAGTATTGAAATGATTCCTCATAATCACAAACTGAGCTTCAGAAGTGATATTGGCAGACATGATTGTGGGAGATATGATATGATTTGATATGTATTAGATGAGAGATTGATTCATTCCATCTATTATAGGCTGATCAGAGTAGTTGACCAACCGTCTAGGCTGGTATGTATAGGTGCACTCTGCGTATGGAATTCGATTACATTGATTAGCATAATAGTCCTCAAGATTGTTGCAACGCCCGTCCGGCGACAAAAATGAAACTCGTCGCCGATTGATTGGAAAGACTTGATATCGTTGCTCATTTAATCGAGTAATCACGGTATGTTTGAGGGGCTAGACCAGACAGGCCCTTTGTAGAGACTTGTTTCTTCCTCTGAGACTCCTTGAGCTAATTCCTTAAAGGGATGAAGGAAGGCAGACCATTAGTAGCGAAAATAGATGGCTGTCCTCGGACATCCCGATGAAAAGTATCCAAAGATGTTTGAGTGGTATAGTTTTCAGTCTGCGGCCGCACAACGCCGTAAAATGTGTGATAATTCTCCGTAAGATCTGGTTGATAAACTCCGACTTTGTTGCTTGCTGTTTGCTCTGAGGGCTAGGAGAGTGCCTTAGCTCCAGATGTAGGTTTGGATGACTGGCCACAGACTGATTCCGAACATATCATGGAGGGATATCTGGGTTGTCTGGGAATTTCGGAACATCTTATGGACGAAGGCGCAGTGACATGTTACCATGCTATGTGACGGAGGATAGAGATGGCCTCTCATCGCTTCTATTCACGGGATCTTATGATCATGAGTGATTTTATCTAAATACCGACAGAAAGAATCATCAGCGATATGATAGTAACGCATATTTGGCGGATGAGCTGTGCTAACTTCCTGCCTCCACTTCTGTTGACCACAACCTGACCCTGACATGGCGCTGGCAGCCTTACTCGAAGTACGTGTTAAGTGTTGGAATCAATCCCAGGTGCCGATGACGACGACAATTCCTCTGCCTTCTTCCATAGAAGTGTCGCTGTTCTCTTCCCTAGCTCAGCCGTTAACGTTAACGATTTGCTCTCCACGGAGTTTCCGGCTGCAGATACCACCATCGGTGTTTGTTTGCCGCAGAGTTCAAACGGGGCTGGCAGTAATTTTTCCTGTCCAGTATGCCAGACCTCCCATGTTCGTGGGTGTCTAATTTCACTGCATTAAGTTGATCATTTGATAGTCGGTAAGTGGGACTAATGACTGAGATTTGCACCATATTCTGCTCATGAAAACAGTTGAATATCATATCCTTCAGTCATTTGGGGGTATATGCAGGAAGGTCATCCTGTTTTTCACCCGAGAGAAGCTTCGCTGGAGAAGATCGAATGTACGGGAGAAGCAATCAAGAAACAGGAGAACAGCAAATAGGCAGATATGCTACCGCAGAGCTCCCATGAGGTCTTTTGCATAATGTTTCCTGAAAGTGGAACTACCAACGATACTAAGTAGGGACATCCCTCGTTCGTTGTTGGAAACGCCAGACGATGTTGTTAACCGTTGTTCCTGCCGTAAACCGTTCGATCCTTTGGAGAGCCGGACTTTTGGAGAGTAGTAACAAAGTGGTTTAAAGCGATCTGTTTTCTCGAGGGGCTGTTGGAAGAAACCCCTCATAAGCGAAGTAAGGCGTTCGCGAAGCGGTAGAAAAAGGAGGCTGAGAGCGTACGCTGTTGTAGCAAAGGTAGTAGGGCACGTCGCATTGGAAGATGTATTGGCGAGATGTCACGATATCATCGTCCATAAATACTTCGTTCCGCCGCCCGTTGTTCCTTCAAAAATAGAGAAATTGGATATGTTTGTCTCCCTTCTATGTTTCCCTCCACTATCTAGAGGTGCTATTCGTGGGTGTGTTGAAATCCCAGCCAGCACTCTAAAAGATGACGGAGTCACTCCATGAACCTTTCAAGCTGACCTCTCGCCTTCGTAGCTCTTCGACCGCAAACGGGCTAGATGCCCAAACCCCGAGCAAAAGACCCCAACTAGATAGGCTGGTAGCTCTTCAGAGAAAGAGTGTGATAGCTTCACACGTAACAGCCCGAAACCGTATATATATGAGCGTCGAAGATAATCACCCAAACCACATTATAGCAGTCCAAGTTTGAGCAATGTTAACCGATGAAGCCGGCATTTTGCTCGTTAAATGATCCTCGTCAGAAGAAACCGCTGTCTATTTAAGCATCATTTGACCTGTGCTTCTCCCTCGGAGGGTAGTGTGTCGCCCATTGGCGAAAGGCGGGTATTTCTTCTACCCGACCTTAAAGTTAGATAGTAGAATATATACCCTCACAATATGATGATAGGGTTCCTAAGATGTAAGGAGAGTAAATATTAAACGCCACGAATATAAATCGTGTAAGTGGAAATAGGTATCATGCTGGTCAGCATAAGTTATCCCAGATTCATAGAAGTAAATTTGATAGGCTAGGTCCTCTTATCTAGCCCACCTAGTCGGTCGAAAATTGGTGGATAGAAGGGATTCATATGAGGGAGAGACTCAAAGAACGAGCGTTATCGAAATGGGGCCAGGAAGGCTTAATATGTAGGGGGGCTGGAGGTGAAGAAATGCGCTCTCGCGGAAGGGAATGGTCCAAGGATCTCGGGGATATTCTAAATTGAATATAACGTCCAGCAGGGAATGCCTCAAAAAAGATCATGGGGGAATGGTTGTAGATTGAATGATACTTCTCAAAGTTTGGATTGAATTGAAAAAACGTGGAGGGCATATCCGAGCAAAATACTTCAGTTAATTTTAGGTAATTCCATCGCGCCAGAGGTAAATTCCCTAAAATTAGCATGGTAGAGAAATCTAGGCAAAAACCTGGCAACCCAGAGTCATTCACATAGTGTACCCAAGAAATAACTAAACAAAAAACGCCCAAAGTAATGCATTTGGTTTTCTAGGCCGTGAATAATTAGTAGTCCGTACAGACGTAATTCAATCCCCTACCCTTAGAACTTCAGCTGAACTTCTTCTGCGGCCCCCTGCCATCTCCCTTGTCGGCAGCCTCTCCCTCGCCAGCAGCCTTAATATTGTACACATCTAGAGAATCCAATGATAATCGTAAGAATGCATGCTTGTTTCTCCACCTTATCTGACCTGCCGCAAAACCCTCGGAGTATGCCGGTGGAGGGGGCGGATCAGTAATTTTGGTGATTAAATATGCCGTCGAAGCTTCTGCGATACCATATAGTAGAACTCCGAGGAGAGGTACTCTAAGCATAGTATAGAAGCCAATCGCAAATCCGAAAAGGACACCTTCACGATCCCGAAACCAGAGCCGTTTTTGTTCTCTGGTGAACTTTATACGGGAGAAATATGGTTCAAGCTTTTAACATGGTATGGTGGTCAGTGAGTTTCTCCAGAAACGGCTGATGTAAAATGCAGTATTAAGTAAGGATAACGCAGGATGAACAGATAATAGGAGAAGGGATTTTTACCAGCTCTCGCATCAGACTACGAGACGAAAAATAACTTTGCAAAAACATCACTAAAATCCTTTTTGGGACAACAAGTCCTGAGCCAAATACGACGAGAGCCGGTATAGGTCCTACGGCTTTATTAAAGGTGTAGAAGCTCGCAGCTGGAATCACAAATCGCCCAACAACTGGAAGTAGCGAGACCATGTATACAGCAAGCGAGAGGGCAGTTCTCCGGCCATATCGGGTCACAAAGGTCTTAAAAGACGAGCCCAAACTCGAGACGGTGGAACTATCTTTCTTGGTCGAATACATCCTGAGATGGGGATAATACAAAGCTCGCAAACTCTCTGGGTTATCGGACTTGTGTTTCTGGATGTAGGTCGAATCAACCCATCGGAGGGATTCCATAAACCTTCGGAAGTGAGATACTGAGTTACCGTGCCAAAGAGGCGCGGGGATTTGGCTTGAAATACATACATGTCATCCAAAGTAGGGGTAACATAGCGCATTAAGGTCATTAATAAGAATGGCACCTGAAGAACGTATGTTGATACAAAGTCAAGACGGCTGAGTATCTTATCGTCCCAGGTTGCCGCCTCCAGGTCGATGACCCAGGAGAGAAGCCATATCACGAACTTTACGCCAACAACCTGCAAAACGAACGTGTTAGACATAGCCTCCTAACAGAGTATGATCTACTTATACATACCGGAATAGAAATAATTAGTCGAATAGCAATCCCGGCACAGACTGCCAGGGCTGCTTGCCTGTAATGCACCGATTTAAATAGTGACGGGTTCTGAAGAGCTCTATGGGCTAATTGGGCAACAAGCAGACAAAAAAGTAAACATGATTAGCCAGATGCACCCCGAAGTTCCTGCATATAAACAGATCTCTCCAGCAGAATGATTTGCAGCTCTACAATGCAACTGAGATCTGTGCATAGACTGGGCATCAATGAGAGGACTGACCTCCTACTAGTGTAAGTTGGGCTCCGCGAATAATGGCATTTGGTTCGAAATTAGACATGGCTGATTCCTTGGGTGGCAATATCTAGATCATACAGCCAGCTAATGGCAGATGATAGACTGTGGAGAGCAGAGAAGGAGGTCTTTTTGTCAACATGTATATTTATTCTCTTGGATGGAAGTTTGTTTGAAAGGTGAATGAATGTTTGATGATGGCGCGGCTAGTTAAGCTCTAAGCTCCTAGTTAACTAGTTATTTAAGCGCCAGCCATCCCCTGTCCGGGTTGATCCCATCGATCTTCAGCTCCACAACACCCCCCACTGCCGCCATAACACCCAATTTCATCCTCTGTTCTGATACAGTCTTCGTCCATTCTTTTAACGGTTACTTCCTCATCCGCTTGCAGTTCTGTTTTCATACATCTACGGCATTTCCGTAAAGCCTTGCTCTCTGTGATTTCTATTCCATGTCAACTTTCATTGACTGTTCCCGCCGCTGCGGATGACTGACTTAATGGACCCTGCCAAACCCCTTCAGCGCTCCAACACCCTGCCTGTGAGGCTGCGTCATAGCCTAGATTCCGTGGATGGCGCGGCTTCGCTTTCCAACGAGGTGTTATTCCACCACAGCGATGCCAAAATCGTGAAATTCGAACTCCCCAAGTCCGCCCAAATCCCCCCACCCAGCGATATTTCCTCAGATCTTGACTATGTGGTCGATGCTGTCGAGACCCTGCCGTGGCGCCTATCGACAGAGAGGACAGTGGCCCTGGGTAATTTGAAAATCGAACATGTCCCCGGGTCAACCATATTTCTCAAGTCTGGTAACGTCGTGCAGGCTCTGATGAAGAACTGTCAATGCTGGTGCGTGGATGGGGCTTCCATTTTCGTCATCAGAATACGGCGCCTTACCTATTACCGTATTGAACTACCGAACGAAACAGAGCAAGATAAGGAGCAAGTGGAAAAATTGAAGCATGTTCTTCGCGCAATTATTCGATATGAGGTCACTCCTTGTCCCTTCAAGAGGGGCTTTTCAGTCGAGTTGCCCGAAGATGCGAACACCCCGCGGAAGAAGAAAGCATGGCGACCGAAACTGGACCCAAGCTTTGAACCTAGGAAATTGAGTTTTGGAGACGCCAGTTCAGATGGCGTAGGATGTTGGCGAAGTGATACAGCGAGCACCCGGGCAGACACCGAGGATGGAGTGGCGACGGATGGGAGTGACAACACACCCAGAGCACGCCGTGCCTCCATATTCCATTACCAAGGGTCACCAACGGTATCGATTCCTACTAGGACTAGGACTGCCAGAAATGTTACAGAACCTACCTATAACTTTGATTCCATCATGGCTAGGTTTCAAGCCCTCCCTGACAGCGAAAGTGAAGCGGATGGTGGTAACTTGTCCTCAAGCCTGGACTCGTTCCACTCGTTTCAGTCATCTCATTCTGGCCTTCTTCCGTCGCCTCCATACTCTGATCCTCCGTCTCCCCTCGACCCCCAACCTTTTGTCAATGCAGACCAACCACAGATCCTCCTCAAACAGACCCATACCCGTGAAGATTCCGAAGCTACGGTTGTACCTAAACCCATCGCCCCAGAGGAGCATGTTCCAGCTTCGAAAGAGAATGGATTCGTAGACTCAGACGCTTCAACCAACCATGTAACAAATCTCGCCCGTCACATGAATGGAATAACTACTTCTGCCCTCACCACGGATCCCGATTCAACCGCGCGCCAACGCAGTGTTCAAACCCCTAGAAAGCGGGAGATTTCACCCATGCTGCCGCTTTCAACCATATACAACCCCGAAGATAAATCACCAATCAACAAGATGACCACATCAATCCTTCAGAAAACTTGTTCCATCATTGTGGGAACACCGATTCAAGTGTTAGCTCTTCTCCTACATATTGCTGCTCGGATCGCACACGGAGACGGTCCTCGTGCCGTTAACTCTGCTGAATCAACCTATGATTGTGATCCCTCTGATTCAGATGATGATATCTGGAGTGAAGATGACTTTGGCGTCCCCCTGTCAGCAGCTGTTTCAGCAAATGCAGACGACTCCAGCCCCGAAGCCGGCCATATTGACCTATGGGAGGACGAGCTAGACTGATAATATCAATCGACCATGTACACCACCTCCTAGGTTGGTCTAAAGCGCTTCTCTTCTCGATTTATACCCTTTATTGAAACTACATAATGCATTTTAATGTGCGAATGGATATTGCTAGAGCTGTCGTCGCTTGACATGTTAGTCTTTTGTTTTAACTGGCGAATGGGAACATGTGCGAGTATGGATGGAGGGTTACTCTTTGGCGGATAAGTAAGTACGGTCTGTCTTATAGGCGAGTATTTTAACGGGAGCTCTTGTGATTTTCTGCCAGCTGAATTGATTTACGGCCTTTTTCTCATGACATGCATTCTGTATATGCATAAGCGTTCATTTCCTTTGTCCTTCTTTAATTTCTTTGATATTACTGGATTATTATCATGATCTGCCTCTATGTACATTTCTATGTTTGTATTAGGATGCGGCGTTTCTTAAGAGTTAAGATTTATTTGTCTGTAAGATTCCACTATCTCATGCTATGTGGGTATATTTCATATTGCTGAAAATGGGCCGAATACATTTTCAGTCTACGTCAGAATCTCAACTCCACACTAAAAGTTCTATATTCAGAGCTCCCGCCCTTGGATCCCCGTTTATCTCAATAAAATGAAACATCACAATTCCAATACAAACTAAGCAAATCATAACCCCTCAAGAAAAATAAACCCCCATAACGCCAGACAACCAAATGTAAGCTGGCATAATCTCAAGAACCCTCTGCCACATGTGACTAACCCCCTCCCATACCGTAAGGCGCAATCCCGGTTCTACGCCTTCCCCTTTCCCCCCTTCCCCTTCCCCTTCTTTCTCCCACTTCGATCCCTCTTCTTCATCCCCACCATCCCCATCTTACAGACCTCCGCATATCGCACAAAAAACCCTTCAATGTCATCCGGTTGTACGACGGTTGACACCTTTGACTTGGCCTCTTTGTGCCGGCCGTTTGTGGCGCGGACAAGGACAGGCACGGGTGCTAGTGCGGGCGACGCTGATATTGATGGGGTCGCTTCTGACTGTGAGGAGGAGGAGGTGGTGGTGGTGGTGGTGGTGGTGATTGGAGTTGTGCCGAGGGGAGGTAACCGCTTTTGCGTGAGGAATATGGAGCCGCGCGCTTTTGTGGACTGTGTTGTGAGGAGGGCTTTTAGGGCCGTGAAGAACTGTGGTTAGTTTTGCATTGGTTAGGTCTTTAGCTCTTCCTTTCATGTATTTATGTGAGAGAGGGAGTTCGTATGGTGAATATACGGACCTCATCATTAGAGACGTGCGGGCTGGACATCTTGGGCTGCAATATATATGTGGGCGGAGTGTGAGCGGGGAGCTGATCTTGTGAGAGCTGATCTTGTGAGATTTTATCGGATTTCTTGCGAGATTATATGTTCTTCTACTTGAGGGATATATGTATAGTTTATAATATCAGATACGCAAGTAATGTCCACATCGGGGATCGTGAGTTCCGCCGTCTGTACTAAACCACCATGAGGTGCTGATGTATTCCCCAAATCGGACTTTCGTGGGGTTGTAGCAGAACCTCCGCACACCGCCTTCCATCTCGAGGGGCAGAAAAAAAAATTCCCCATCCAGAACTAGAAAATTTATTTAGCTTTAGCCCAAGCGTAGGAGCTGTTTAGCCAGTCAGTCTTATCGCTCCACGACTATGTCACGCCCTCTATATAACACGACGCAGCTCCCAAAACAGCTCCGAGAGGAGTTAGGCCTTCCAGACCCCACGAATGCGCGTAGAGGGGATCGCCGACACAATGCGCGCCTCTCCCGCAAAGAGCAGCGGAAAGTGGAGCGGGCGAACAACAAAAGGGCGCAGCATGGGCAGCGAGGGAAATTGTCTCAAGGAGGCGCGCGGGATGGCGATGGAAATATGCGAAGAAGTGCTCCGTCTATTGGTAGACAGGCGAGCGGGAAAACGAAACTGAATGCGAAGCTGAATGCGGGAACGGCGCCAAAGTCGATTTTGAAGACGCGGAGAGAAGCCGATGATGAGTTTGAGGTTGAATCAGAGGAGGAGGAGGAGGAGGACCTGGAAGAAGATTCTAAGAGCGGAAACGAGAGTTCTACAGTGCGACCTAGAATATCGAGAGCTGTGGAGGAGAAACTGGCGGCGGACGATATGGAGATATCTGCGCTAGAGAAAAAGTTGGGTATTAAGGGGAAGAAAGGGAAGCTGCCACAATCGTTTTATGATGAGGGATTAGCAGATTTGCTTGGTGATTTGGATGGGGGTGATTCGGACGATGAGTCGCGGAAGAGGAAGAGGGAAGGGGATGAGTGGTTGCAACGGAAGAGACTGAAGGCGCAAGCAGTAGCTAGAAAGACCCAGAAGACGATGGAGGCGGCTAGTGACGAAGAGAGTGAAGATGAGGATTCTGAAGATGAGGGCAGTTATGCGAGTGATGAGAATAGCGAGAGTGATGACGAGAATAAATTTGAAGGATTTGAAGGATTTGATGACGAAGAACAAGAGGGCTCACCTCCCAAACCAAAAACGCGAGAAAACCCTTACGTCGCCCCAGTTGTGGCCTCGGAACCAACTACGCGTAAATACATACCCCCATCCCTCCGAGCTCCATCGTCCAGCGAAGCCGAGTCCCTAACCCGTCTACGACGGCAGGCCCAGGGCCACCTTAACAAACTCTCTGAAGCAAATCTCGTTTCAATCCTTCGAGATGTCGAGAAGCTCTATCAGGATTATCCACGGCACAGCGTCACTACTACACTAATCGACCTGCTGATGGGTATGGTGTACGATCCAAGTACTCTCCAGGACACATTTATCATTCTGCACGCAGGCTTCATAGCGGCTCTGTATAAGGTATTGGGCATGGACTTTGGGGCGGAGTTTATAGAACGGATCGTTAAAAAGTTTGATGAGGATTATGAAGGGAAGGATGGCGGGCTCAGTAAACAGATGGTTAATGCGATTTCCTTATTGTCGCATCTTTATAACTTCCATGTTATCGGATGTAGCTTGATTTTCGACTATATCCGCCTCTTCCTGAAGGAAATAAATGAAGTGAATACGGAGCTACTTCTGAAAATGATTAGAAGTAAGTACTATTTACAACGCGCTGGTTTAAACATTCAAGTTGCATTTACTAATTTAAACATTTTTAGATTCCGGGCCCCAACTCCGACAAGACGACCCGTCCTCTCTCAAAGACATAATCCTCCTGATCCAACCCGCAGTCTCCCAAATCGGCGAGGCCGCCTTATCCGTCCGCACGAAATTCATGATCGAAACAATGACAGACCTGAAAAACAACAGAATGAAAACTGGAGCCACGGCATCCGCCATCTCATCCGAGCACATCACACGCATGAGAAAAATCCTCGGATCGCTCAACAACTCGCGCACCATCCGTGCCAGCGAGCCCATCCGCATCGGCCGCACAGATATCCACAACTCCACCAAGAAGGGGAAATGGTGGCTAGTGGGTGCAAGTTGGAAAAACGACGACGATCCAACCAACCAATCTGCGCCGGTTGTTATCGATGCTGCTGCAGCTCTGCCTGACACGCTGGCCGATGACATCGGTGGTAATGAAGTCGATCTCGCACAGCTAGCCAGAGCCCATCGCATGAATACTGACGTTCGGCGATCCATATTTGTGGCAATCATGTCCGCGGCCGATTGTCGTGATGCCCATGTCCGGCTTGCAAAGCTACGATTAAAACGCAACCAGGAGGGAGAGATCCCCCGCGTTGTCCTGCATTGCGCGATGGAGGAAGAAGCACATAATCCGTATTACACGCTTATAGCGCGGAAGCTCTGCGGGGAGCGGAGAATGAAGATGGCGTTCATGTTCTCGTTATGGGATGTGTTTAAGCGTATGGGTGAGAAGGGTGATATGGACGAGGAGGATTTCGATGCCGATATCGATGAAAACAGCGATAATGCTGTGACCAGCAAAGCTATTGTGAATCTGGCGAAAATGTTCGGTAGCATGGTTGCGGATGGTGCGCTTACGTTGGGCATCCTCAAGGTCTTGGACTTTGCGTACCTGCAGCCGAAGACGAAGACGTTCGTTGAGTTGCTGCTTGTGACTGTTATGGTACAGACGCAGCAGAAGAGGTTAAGGAAACTGCGGAGGAATGAACAAGCGCCGTCAGGTTCTAAGGAAGCGGATGGAGAAGAATTTGACGAAAAGGCACTGGCGGATGTGTTCATGAGAACCCGGGAGACGCCGCAGATTGTCCCGCGCCTAATTTACTTTATTCGCAAGGTTGTTGCGAAGACGGATATTGTGGCGTCAAAGAAGGAAAAGAGGATCGTTAAATGGGCAAGCAATATTGCTTTGGATACGCTGAAGGTCGTATCTCGGGCTGCTGATGATTCTTGATATCCTTCTCAGTTGTCCCTCGATTCGTATGCATAGTGTGTAAGCGAGTAGAGTGAATGCTTTCCACCCATGTATTACAACAGGACCATAATATGAAGATTGCATCATCTTTTCCCACCTCTAGTATCTTATGTATCAATGCCCAGCTTTGGAAATATGTCAGTTAAGGCTTGTAGATGCTTTACTGATGGTGAAGACCCATGCCGATATTCCGATAGGCCGGGCCCATCCCCATCTCTAGGAAGGAGAAAGCTATCCCAACCAGCATTGATAGCCCCTTCGTAATCGTTTTCATAATGATCTCCAATATGTATACAGGTCCAATCTGTATCTTTGGGCAATAAAGATCCATCACTCTCAATGCACTTCTTTGCCCTCTCTTTAGCAAAATCAAAAATCTTTCGATGAGGCTTCTCCTCTCCAGCCTCATAGCTAGTAACGATAAAATCGATATCAGCCGGTGTATCTCCTCCATCCAAGTTAGTTTCTTCGGTGGTAGTAACAGTCCTGGCAGCATGAGTAGTCCACCCCAGCGACCCAACGCGTACTCCCAAACTGGTCAAGATATTTGCACTCCGATCATCAGAGTTCGAAATTACGCCTACAACAATCCTCTCAAAGTCCTGAGGAGCGCCGTAACTGGACCTATGCAACCGCCTTTGCGCCCTCCACCGTCTCATCCTAGCCACAAACTCCTCCACATCCGGGTACAACAGGTATCCTTCTCGGCTCTCAAACCGTTTCAGCAACTTCTGAACCAACTCCTCCGGAACCTCAACTTCAACTTCAGACTCAGCCGCATCCTGGCCAGCTACCGCACAATCCTCCCTCGCAACCCTCCTAAAACACTCCCGAATCACATTACCCCACCACTCCGTGGGCCCGCTAAAGCCGGCAACATTGCGCCCAAAGTTTGGTCTCGAGGCGCTCTCGTGCTTATAGACGGCGCGGAAGGCGGTTGAGATTTTTGCTGCGAGGTCTGCTATGGGGAGGTTATTTCTACTAAAATGCGGGGGGAAGTGGAGGGACTGGGCGACTTGGGCGTACTGAATGGGGACGGGGAGGCGGGGGTGGAACAGGGTGTGGAACGCGTCAAGGGTGAGGAGGAGGGTGCGCGGGGGCATTTGCTTGCATATAGAAATGGGGAAGGGGAAGGAATGGAAGCGAATGAAGGGTAAATTGAAGGGGTGTCTATTTAGCGATTGAGCTGTCCTCTTGAAGAGTTGTTGTTCCAAGGTTGTTGTTGAGATAATGTATTTGGTGTTGATCCTTGGGACGATATTTTGGCTATCCCCCTTTCAACTTAGTGCACAACCTTGTTTCGACCACCATCTCCAGCCGCACAGAAATTCCCCTAGACCTTCCTATATCTATATATCTTCCTATATCTTATTAGCAGCGGTGGCAACTGCAGGGCTAGCTTGTCCAGAAGACGGAAATCAATGCAGGAGGCTCCAGAGCAGTTTATAGCAAATAATACAAAACTAGCTGCTATAAACTCCTATAAACCGCATTTACAATTACTCCGATTATCCTGAGGAGATGCTGGCGCCTGAACAAGCAAAGGAAACGAAGTGCATAGCAGCTTAGAGCAAATGCAAACACGGTCTTGAATATTTCGACCCGGTTCAAATGTCAGATAAGATACGTGGATGTCGGATGACAAACCACACCCCTGAGAAATGGGCCATGCGCGGGAACTTGATAATTACAAGCTAAAAACTTGGGCGATTCACGAGGGCCGTTTCGCATTCTGATAGAAGCTCTTATATGATGGCTCCAACTAATGTACGTGCTCTGCGGTGTAACTTTATGCTAGAAACCCTGAAGAGTTGTACCATCGTGGTTGACATGATATAGACTCCAACAAGGCAAAGTAATGCCTTGGGTCGAGCTCCTCAATCTGCCGGAATTAGATCCGTTTCGCGAACTCCACGCTTTATCTTTGGATCAACTGCTCCCTCAAGCTCTGCGTCTCAATTTGCAGCAATTCCTCGCTTTCGCTTTGCTGAAAAGTTCGGGCAGGTATCTGTTTCTGATATCGAAGCTGATCTGAGTGATATTGCCCCTTCATCTTCAGCCCTTACGGACTCTGATGGGCGAATTGGAAGCTTGCCCCTTCTATATTCAAGGGAGGATGAGATCCAAGATTCCAATAGCGATGAAGAGGAGATCTTATTCCATGATGACCCTACTTCTTCCCCTTTAGAAGGGCATTCAGGAGCTCGGGATGACGCGGGGGGATTTGATAGTGATGCTGAAATCGATTCCATTTTTCCTCCAACCCCTGAAAGACGCAACGCAAAACGCAGAAGAGTGTCATCTCCTGCTCTTAATAATCCCAATGCAGATCCAATCTCGTCGTGTCCATCCCATCCATCTTCATCCCCATCATCACTACATCCGCCATCACCCGTCTCCTCTTTGGCATCTCTCACTACTCCATCCCGAGCCTTGGCCCCGGAACCATTTACCCTGCTGCTCCCATCAATCACAACCTTCAACCGCCCGCCTTCATCATCCACTAAGCACCCCCGTTTTCTTTTTCGCCACCAGCAAAGTTCACCTTCCATGTCTACACATTTCGCTCCTTCCCAATTGAAGCCAACTACTGCACCGATCTCATCTCAACGGCGACCACCGCACTTCATCCTCCCACCTACCTCTTCCAGACCACCGGAGCACCTCCATCTTGCTCTAACCACAGATGAAAGATCCCTTATCCCCGGACGCTCCAGACGGTCCAACTCTACCACGCCAATCTGTGTACCGGGTGGCATGACCGCCTCCGTCCGTGGTTGGCTACTAGAAGCAGAAGCAGCAAAACACGCCTCCCAATTCCAGAACACACAGGCCAGCGCTTTCCAAGCGCCCAGGGTGACGCAAGAAATGCCACCCCCGCCGCGAGTAGCTAACTATTACCTCGTAGCCGAAGTCGTTGATGTCCAACATCAGGCATCTACCAGCAAAAGCGACCATAATACGTATACACCTGGCCATCCTACTCCGGTGACATTGATCACAACGACCCCCATAAATAATTCTTCTACCGCTATTGCCAGTAGTATCATCAACACGGACACCAATAGCACAACCCCATCTACAGTACAACAGCAAACATCTATACGGCCCCCTTTCATACATCCCCCGTCCCGCAAAATCCTACTATTCGGGGCACCCATCTCCAACCCACCGCGCAGCCACAGTCGCGGCTCTTTTGATACACCGGGCCAACATCCCGGCCGCCATCCACGCCTTAGTGCATCGTTCTTTGCCGCATCTCCTATCGTAGCAAAAGGAGACAAAATAGGGCTCCGTCGCGGCCTTGTGTGGGAGATGGAAATTGAGGAATTTCCAGGGAGGGTAGGTAATGGGCAAATGAGACAGGATAGGGAAGGTGCAGTTGATGCAGAGGATGTCGCTGGAAGTGCAAGCGCACCCGGAACCCGAAGGAGGGATGTTAAGGTAGAGAAGTGGCTTGTTGGTGTTGAGTGGGATGTATTATGACTCGAGCTGTTTTACTACGTACATATAGCTTGGAGAAATGAACCTTTACCCAAGCCACCTAGAAATATATTCAGACAGACGAAACGGCCAAACGCATATATTATGAGACCCCGCTATATTAAAACTCCTTACACTCCGTTCATTCATTCATTTCAAAAGCAAAATACTATCCCTAACAAACAGTACCCCAAATTAAAAACAACCCCTCCAAAGGAGAAAAGAAAGCATCAACCAAAATGGCTCCCAAGAGGGAGAGTGATCCCGACAGCGGTCACTCCCACCCCCCACCCCC